TTGCGTGTAATGGATTTGGAACGATGTCAGATATACAACCGTGTAATATCAAGGATGTATCATGTGGCAGTGATCAAACGGTATGGAATTAATCTTATTTTTTTTTTCGGGGTAGCTTAGCCATGATTTTATTAGATTTCGAAAATTGATAGTATTGCTCAAGCAAATCCCCTATATACAGGTATGTGATATTTAAGTAATTTTCGTGGAGATTACACCGTTCCAACGTAGTTCCACTAGAAATTGACCGAGTTACCACCAAATCCCCTATCTTCGTTAATCTTATTAAAGGTGTTTTTTTCATGGTTTCCCGAATGTACTATCGTAAAATACACCATAAACGTACTTCAGCCTGTCGTCAAATGCGCGTAAAACACTAACCAAAGGTACTCAATTGCAAATTGTGTAAATAACATTTTCTCTATTCACTACACGCAGTATACTCGTGCGGAAATGTATAATGTATACGAGATAGAGACCTACTGCGCAAGCGCCGGTAAGATTTCTTATTAACGATTAAACAGTTATTTCATATCATTATATTATTTCAATAATCACAATCCGTCAAATTGACGGAAGCTTACGAACGTGCTGGAGCAACAAATTTTCATGCATCTTATCAAACCTTCACGTCGTAGTATTATGCTCTATAAACAAGTTTTCGAATTCCGGACTCCTTGAGTGCCGCATTGAATTTCGCACTCTGATTTACATTCAAATGGGGTTAGCATACCTATATATGGTGTAGTTATTTTTAGCATGATGGTGGTGATAATCTCACGTTAGTTTAGATAGACACGTCTTATACAGGAAGTGCTGGGAATTTCTGGTACTCGTGTAAGGAATGAGGGAGCAGATATAACGGAACAGGAGAGATGGAAATGGACGATAAAGGTGATAGAGCGGTAATTGCGTTTTTTTTGGGGGGAAACTTTCATAAGGGTACAGACGTCAAACGACTTCGTTCTGCGACTGACAGTAGCCTATTCTCGTTTATTTATTTCACGGTCTTTTTCATTATGAACGTTGCCGGAGTCGTCATCGTCATTATATTTTTTTCTTTTCTTTATACACGTGGTAGATTGGGTGAGACGGGCCTCTTGAGGAATTAATGCCGTGGAGACGATTTCCAAAATTTGTCATGATTGCTCCATTCAGATAAAAAGATATATAGAAAAATTATATGCTATCAGTATAAGACTTTCACTAGTCATATATGAGAATAGACATTGATATAAAATTCGTTGCATAAAGGTTGGTACACAATGTCTATCACTCTATGCAGTCGTCTTTTCGTGCGCAGGATCGATTCGCTTAATTTAAATTTTTCATTCTGGAATTGACTTAACCTCTTCGAAAATTAAATTTGTAGGTGATTCTGGCTTTATTTAAATTTCAAGTGCGAGGTCTAACGGGTGTTAGGCGCTTTTATTTGGCTACGACTAAGGGTCGAGCCCGCCTCGACCTGTAAGGGATGCTGCGATTTCCTTTTATTTTCTTTACTCATGGCTGCGATGTTCTTGAAGTTGGTAGTCTTTGGATAAGAAGATTGGGCTGAATTAAGAAACTCGTGTAAAAACAAGAAGAGTAAATATACTCGTACCGTGTACCGACTATACCTATATATAAAGTAATATCCCTAGATATAGGGATGTTCCGTTCTATCGTGTCGGAGCCGTATAAAAGAGAATTGGTAGCCTTTGTGAAAAAAATTGAACATATTTCTTAATTTTGAAGAGCCTCTCGTTGCATCAAAAATAATATTTAAATCAATTTTTCCCATTTACTAAGCGGAGCCACGAAAATGACTTTGAGGGGTCACTCCTTGTGGGAAATATAATAAAGCAGACTTCATAACTATTTTTTTCAAAGAATTTTTTGCCCAATGTTGATATATATGTGTGTATATAAATATATATATATATATATATATATATATATATATATATATATAAGTATGTCAAACGGCAGTTTCCAGACCATGCGGCATTCACAACAGCAAGGTAATGTTTTTAAAAAAAAAAAAAAAAACTAGACCTTGGGACATGTAGCATTAGAATTCTAACATAATCTAACCTAACGAACAACTTCTTAGCCCATCACAACTCGGAGTGTCCAGCATCAAAAATTTGTTGGAAATTTCGGTGTGAGTGTCGCCAAATGTCTCTGGAAGTATACGTTATATATAGGATTTTTCCAGGTCTACCCTGGAAAATACCAAAAGTCCTCATAACTGCCAATACACAATAAAAAAGGTCTTGGAAAGCACCTTTTGTAATATTTACACACGTATATGCATATACATATATAGAAATTGTACCTGAGATAGGTTTACGTAAAAAGTAAAGGCGACTCCTTATTTCTATATTACGCACACCCATCTGTGTTAGATGAACGCATCTGATTGCCCAAAGAAATCCAGTTGTTCACAGAACTCCTCGAGAAGTAAAATCTGTTTGCTTTGAAATTCTTCGTGAAACGAGCGCTGATTTGCTTTTTGATCTTCATAAGAAAAAGTGTTATTACACTTCTTTCAATTAGATGCTGTACGCTGGTCCAGAGTTTCTTATATAAATAATCCCACGCCACCGTTAATATACCTATAGTGATGGTATAACCATATATTTTAGTGTATATATATGTGTATATATATATATATGTATATATAATTTTGAAAAAGTATCATATAACCTTTCTCCATTATCTTCATTATCTTCATCTCCATTATATTCATGGTTAATGAATATTTTCGGGTCACTTTCGAAATGTCAACAAGTCTCAATATCCTTGTCCGTCATTCGCGTATGATTGGTACTTGAATATTTTTATTAGAAACACCTCGATTGCGTCTTGTCTTATGTGAAATCTACGAGAGCGTGTTGTCCAATCGCTATGAAATGAGATATAGTAAAGGGGTGCAATATATAGATATATAATATACATAAGCGAAGCACGTGAAACACGAAGACAGCCAGTGGGAACTGGTTTTGTCGAAATAAAACGGAAACGGAGGAGTTCTGGAAAGGGTTGATAATAAATATTTATGAAGGTTCTGGAAATGCGAAATCCAATCTCCTGTCGGGCGGAGGACTCGTTTCGACTATCATCGGCAACCGCGAGGCAACGACAGTATCTCATCTGGGTGTGATAGGGTATTTTTTTTTTTTTTTTTCGTGAACAGATAAAAAAGTCTAAAAAAAATATGAAAAAGCAAAATGTGGAAAATTTCATGTATGGAAGAAGTTCCGTATAAAGACAAGGACAAAAGTAGCGTTACAGACGTAGCCGAATGGCCTTGATATTATTTTGCTTGGAATTACCGTGGAAATCCCATAGGTGTCACTGTGGGCGTCGAGACGAATTTTCCTTTACATTTTGCTTGCTTGACTTTTCTCTTTTCTTTATTGTTTTAACACCTGGTCCGAGGGTACGTAATCGTGAGTATTTTACGTTGGGTGACGTTGCTTTAGGATACAGAAACAGGTATAAAAATACGGTCAAGGAAGGTCGACCTTTTACGTCACGCCGTTGCGGAGGGGGGAGCTCAGAAGCTTCCAGACTGTTCTATTCCCAGGACAATTAAATAGTCATTTGCCGGCGACTTTAGCTCCTAGGGAGTTTCGTTAGGTTGGTG